ATATGGCACAATGTCAACAGGCCTGCGCCTGCCAGAATCCACGAAACTCTGCAAACATATGTGGAGGTTTGCTGGAACTTAGTTCCTTAATCCTTAGATATTTGCTGAGTTTGCCAAGACAATCCGTTGGGGAATCAATGTACCATAGTGTGTGTATCGCTTGCCGCGTAGCAGATGACCCTTATCAATTACGTCAGGGTGCAAAAATGGGTGCAACTTCAGCCCGACCAAGCCAGTAAAGTTCACATTTTCTCTTTTGTGATCAACGAGACAGCCCATGCATAAAAATTAGCAGTAAACATGGGATTCCGACGCGCCAAGGATGGGGTTGGGATCTCCCTAGAGTTGTTTGGTCGCTTGCCCTGCTACTCTGCTGGAAGGACTTTGCCTGCGACTAGTTTGTCGTACCATTGAGAATGGGAACCCCTGTGCCCTTTGTGAAGTAAAGTAAAGGACTCAGGAATCTGTCCCCTCAACTCCTGATTTGGTCAAGCAAGTCCTCCCTCCATATACAAGATGTCTTCCAGGAACGACTTTCACCGTCGGCCTGTCTGGAAAAAAGGATGTGTGCATGCGCTGTCGATGCGTACGATGGCACGAACCTGTTCTTTTGTTCATGCCACTAATCACATCTAATCACTACTTATAATTCAAAGATGCCAGTTGAGATTGTACGAAGATGCTTTAAATGCATATTGTAATTCCGAATTCCTACAATCAAGACGAGTCCATTCTTGGTTCTGATCATTTTAACCTGCCATACGGTTGACTGCCTAGTTTCTGCTCAGCTTTGGCCGCTCGTCGCCCTGAGGCTGGAAACCAGGTGATGTCCAGCTCCGGCCCGCGAGGCCGGGACCTACCCCCCAGGGAGATTTAAATTTGACCCGTGGCCTCCAACCTAATAGCAATGGCCTCCACCCTAGTAGCGATGGCCTTCACCCTAGCAGCGATGGCCTCCAACCTAATAGTGATGGCCTCTACCCTAGCAGCGATGGCCTCCACCCTAGTAGCGTGGCCTCCAACCTAGCGATGGCCTCCAACCTAACAGCGATGGCCTCTACCCTAGTAGCGATGGCCTCTACCCTAGTAGCGATGGCCTCCACCAGCGATGGCCTCCACTCCAGTAGCGATGGCCTCCACCCTAGTAGCGATGGCCTCCACCCTAGTAGCGATGGCCTCCAACCTAGTAGCGATGGCCTCCACCCTAGTAGCGATGGCCTCCACTCTAGCAGCGACGGCCTCTACCCTACTAGCGATGGCCTCCACCCTAGTAGCGATGGCCTCCAACCTAGTAGCGATGGCCTCCAACCTAGTAGCGATGGCCTCCAACTTAATAGCGATGGCCTCCAACCTAATAGCGATGGCCTCCACCCCAGTAGCGATGGCCTCCAACCTAGTAGCGATGGCCTCCAACCTAGTAGCGATGGCCTCCAACTTAATAGCGATGGCCTCCAACCTAATAGC